ATTTGATCCTTTTTTGTAAAAATGTTTATATCTCAACAAAAGGTTAAAAATAAATCCTTTAGTAGCTCTGCCATACTTTAATTAGCTTATATCAGTTAAATACACCTGAATAACTGGGATTTTGTAGCGTTTTCTGTTAAGTTAGGAGAATATTTTAACATATTTACCACATAAATCTGGGGTTAATGTGATTATTTGACCCTTTAGATTTAGAACCTGGAATTAATTTAGATTGTGACCATTTACTTAACAATACACTTGTATTTTTCCTACTTTAGTGTCTTTCACTGATGTAGAGCTTCTGGTTTTCTATCCAATTATTCTAAAATGCATTGTTTGCACAATCCGACCAATAATATGGATTGAGCACAGATGTCAGACTGCAGTGCATTCTGGGATGGTTGTTTTATTCCCTGTCATCTAGGCTAAATGTATTCTATAGACAGCAGCTAGAGAGACAGAAGGAGATAATGTTTTTATGACGTTTTTTACATCTCTGTTTCTCATCTGCCTTACCATGTGGATCACATGTTTAGGTACATGAGAACCAGAACCAAAATCTAACAAATGTTCACTTCCATCTTGAAAATCAGACAAAAATCACAACAGAAAGCAAAATAAGTTAAATGGATAAACAACAAACAACTAACTTAAATTGACGACGCTCTGGTTAATACTGGGAGCTCAGCCAACGTACGCTGAAATACGATGCTTCATCTGCCGTAGATCTACACAGTTGTGTAACCTCCATACATAGATGTCCTGCTGTGTTTTATAATTAGATTAGATTAGATTAGATTAGATTAGCTTTATTGATCTCACAGAGGAGAAATTCATTCATTCAATTCTCATCACAAATTGGCATGGTGAATATATAAGGTGCAAACAAGGGGGAAAAAGGTGCATTAAGAATAAAATTCCTACGATCTTTTCACTTCTATTACACTCAGGTTTTGTCATGATCTTATCTAAAGCTTGGACCCACATGCAGAGAAACCAATTCAGAGAGACCAGGGAAAGGTTTAACGGGTTTTATTGAAGAAGTTAAACAGAGGGAGAAGTGTTGCTCTGAACACTGCTCAACCGGAACTGTAAAGTGAGGGGAAGACACAGCGGTTAATTCAGGCTCAGTGGGGAAAATGACTCTTGAGCTTGGAGAAGAGGATTTGGGTGCCGACTCACGTTTCCAGAGAAGTTGTTGAATCCTTGACTCCTGTCTGTGTGCCGTGGTTCCAGTGTTTGTGTGATTCGGTGGAGGGCGGAACAGGGTTTACCCAGAACGCGGTTGATAGTTGGTGAACGGAGAAACTTACTGCCACTCAGATTTCCTGCGGTACTTGAACGGGTCGTAGTGGAGAATAATCCCTTTCTCAGTGAGAAGCTCAAATGATCTCTTGGGGAAAGTGGATCCAAACCTCCTGTTTGAACCCCAGCTCAGTTTGAAGTTCTGTTGATCCTTCCAGGGAGTGAAGGTCAGAGAAATCCAGTTTGTAGGATGACTTCCTGCCAAGAGGCAGTTTTGTCAACTCAGGTTGACAAAAACTCAGCTTGACTCAGCAAAAACTCAGCTTGGCTAGAGTACCCTAAACTGGCAAACACTCTAGCGTCGAGGTAGTGGCAGTCAGCAGCTTAAGAACGCTCCGCTCAGCAGATGTGTGAGGAGGCGGACCAGAACCAGGCGCCTTCTCGTGGATGAAGAGAGACAAACACAAACACAAAAACAGGAGTCCTGACGGGTTTAAAAGCTTGATCTGATCTCTCCCTGCTCTACTTTAAATCCAGCAGAGACCGAAACATTTACAGGATTTGCCACTTATTTCTGTTTTTATCCTGACTTTTATCTGATTTCTGCAGCAGAAGTGGATGTTTGTTAGATTTTTTGTGAGGAAGCTGCTTTTACTGTTAATAAATCTCCTCTGAATAACTTTATTTTTTAACATAACTGTTGTTTTTATATTTTACATTTTTCCTGATGTTGTTTTTTTTCCATGTCTGCAGCCCGCTAAACTCACTGAGGCTTTCAAATATTTCATCCAAGGCATGGGCTACAGTAAGTTCATTTTTTCTGATCAATCATTTCATAGTGAAACATCCTAGTCCTTGATCATACCTCCCATGTGATGTTTCATGTTGTATAAAGCCACACTGAACTGTATTTGATTAACAACTATTATACTGTAAAAAGTAACCAGACCAATCACAGCATTCAGGAGTTAGCTTCATTATAAGCACTATTCCATTATTACCCATAGTGCAACAGTGGTTTTCTGTAACCATAACAGTTCGGCTCCCATTTTATTATATCCAGAATGAGAGTATATCTTTCAAACAGGCTTCTGAGAGAGCTTTTCTTTATAGAAAAAAAAAAAAAAAAACTTGCGTCGCAGCTGTAGGTGACTGATTGGTTCTGACTGGAGATGAAGCTTCAGAAAGCACTGAAGCCTTCTATCCAATTGCTTTGTTCATGTGTCAAAGCCTCAAGAAGCTTTATTTGCTCTATTGTGCCATCAAGTGGACAATAAATGTAAAACATTCAGTTTGATTCTGACACTATGGCTTTGGTGTCTGGAGCACTGAATGAATTCATCAATGATGTTTGTGATGCTTATACATAAAGTATAAACTTTTATATGGTGTCTGTCTTTTTGATACAATGACACAGTCAGCCATTCATTTTTATTTTGACCCTTAACCCCACACTGCTCCCCTCGTGCCGCACAAGTGCAGCCCACTGCTCCCAAAGGGAATAAGTTGAAAGCAGAGGTAAAATTCTCAATACAGTTCAATTATTTATTTAATATTAGATTGGTTATTTTTCTAATTAATCTATTAAAATATATCCAAACTCTCTCCAACTAACGGTAACTCTCCTACTAACTCCCACATCTTCATTAAATACTGATGCTGTTGAAATGCCTGTCATAGTTTGTGGGCAGGCCTAACCACTTCCTGAAGCGGTCATGTGGTATGGCGGTAGCGAGGCTTCGGACGTCAACGATTTCAAGCCTTAATACGCACTTGGCGGAAATACCCCCTCCTCTACTCAACACACAGCTCATCTAATAACATCACTAGTTGTGTTTCCTCTGAGTTCTGCCTTTGAAATCAGTTTTACCCACTCCTTTAACACACTGTGTATACAGGGGAAGTCAGTCAGGCCTGCCAGGCTACAGCGTATCATTATTTCAATATGTAAATATTACCTTTCTATATAACACATTTTTTTCTCCCCCAAATAGCTTAGGAAACAGCTACACACAAGTGTATTAACGCTGTATTACATATTGCCCTTTGGTGGTGCTCTGACCATCCCAGAGTACCACACCCAAACCGCAGGCAGCTTATGAGAGGTAAACAGCAGCATGATGGCTAAGAGCACATAGAGAGGAAGCTGGAGCTACGGCCTCATCATAAAAAGAAAGCTGCAGCTTGCATGAACACACTGAACCATGAAACTGGCCTTATCACATTTTTTTCAGAATCCTTTATTCAATACAGTTCAGTTTATTTATATATCGCCAATTCACAACACATGTCATCTCTAGGCACTTTACAGTTCAATCAG